TTAATTTCAACAATACCGTGTGACTGCAGTTCAATACTCACTATGTATACACACATTACCCTCCCGCGTCACGTTTTCCCCTCTTATATATATACCAGCCTACCCTACTAGTAAATACTAGACCATTCGCCAAGATACGGGATAATTCTAGAAACAAGAGAGCGTGAGAATTGTCACGTGATCTCGATGACGCAACACTATAGACTTAATATTTTGACATCACAAACATCTAATTTGAACCAGTGCTGCATTCAACATACCATGTGACACACAAAAATTAATGTTTAACTCTGTTTTTTAATATTTACTTTTAATTTAAGAAGTTAAATAATGTATAGTACTAAAATTTGAATTGTAATCTACAGTTTGATACCAAATTTATTGACATGGCCTTTGCCCCATGACTCGCCTGGAGAGGGTTAAATGTAAATTACTTAATATAAAATAGTCACAGTTCAGACAAACCATAATTTTTATAGACTTGAAAATTTTTTTGGTTACAGAGCTATCAAACAGAAAATCAGACCCCTCCTGCCACACCCTCTCTTTCATGATTTGTTGATAGTTCTCTCATACATTTAATTATACATTACCTATTATCGATAGAAAGTCAAGATTATCACTATCAAATGATGTATTATATTACATTGTGTTATGAACAAATAATTGTCAATTTCATATATAGTTCAACTTTTGTAACAACTAGCTTGGATGAATTTGTAACAGCTCTTGTCACATGGTTAGTCATGTTCTTTGGTGCATTATTTAATTAAATAAAAATTATTTAGTGCATTACTACCATTAGTATAAAAAAAGGGTTAACTTTTAATGAGGATCAACAGCATGAAAAAAGAAGATTGGGTAATTACTTTATTTCTTGTTTTTCATGTTTATTTTATTATTTATTATCATAAAAGTAACTAAAATATAAAAATAGGGATCTTTTTAGGTTGGTTAAGATTAAATTAGGTAATATAAATAATAATATAAGAAAAATGTTTCATGAGGCACACACGTGAGCAGTTCATAGTAGCTCATGAGTAATGTAACTCGATAGCATAACACGAGCTGCATAATGTTTCATGAGGCACACACGTGAGCAGTTCATAGTAGCTCATGAGTAATGTAACTCGATAGCATAACACGAGCTGCACATTCTTCGAATGACTTACAACTTATAATGGCATGTTTAGTAGTTAGACCCAATTCAAATGGAAATAAAACAATAAAATTTAATTATAAATAGATGTATACTGTTACGAGCTTTAAGCTACTTAAGATAAAAGAGTGTAGTTTCATGTTACAATTTGAAGTAATTCTGGAAAGAAAATGAAGGATAATTTAGATTTTATTTTGGGTGATTACAAGGTCTGTCAAATTGACCAATCCCGTATAGAGATAGGGTAGAGAAAATAACAGATAAAATATAAAGTCTTATTGAAAAAAAAAACGTTTGAAATGTATTTGTAAGGTTTTATTCATTACACAAAGGAAATTTGACATTTTTAAGATGAAGAAAAGAATTTTTAATTTTAACATAAAAAATTACTTTGCACATAGACTATTTAAAACAAATACTCTATATATTCATGGACAAATCTTTATTTTAGTTTATTTAAAATACTTCACTTAAAAATATGATTTTTTGTATGTGAACTGAAAGACTGCCAAATTTCGTGAAGATATACCCAATATACAGTACAGTACAGTATAGAAGGTCACGTGACTCAGTCAAATCGACAGACCCATGTTGGGAGAGTTAAATAAACACAAAAATCAAAATCAAAAAGACAAACATATAAGTATATAAGGTAATATTGGCAAACTAGATTATAAAATTAGAATGTCCTACCCTTTCTATTTGCTGAGATATCAATATATTTAGCTGAACCCACCACAGTGGCTCCACCTACCTCTTCCACTTTTGAAAATACTTCTTTACCTACACCCACTTCTCTCAATTGCATGTTTATAACCAATCAAAAGTGCTCACTTGGAACTACATAATCCCATTGGTCATCCTAAAGTACTTACATAGGTAAAGCTGTTATAACCATTGGAGAGTTTGAATTGTGGTGATCAAGGTGATATTCTAATCAGATTAGATTTTTGAGACCCAAGTACAGATAAATTACAGTGCATTTTTGTGTTATCAGTATAGTAACTTATAATTTTTTGTATTCCAAAATGAATATATAATAAATCTACCAACTCCACGTGCAAAATTCAATCAGGCTTAGCAAGTACCACGCACAAGTACTTCATGACATCACAAGTTGTAGAGATTATTGTTTTCTATATATATATATTTTATTTACTATTCTGAATTTTAAAAATTTATCTGTAAATGGTAATAATATTTATACATTTGTATGGCAGCCAATATTGTCACTGTATTTAACAAAATACAGTATGAAGTCTAAGAACAACAATAGATTGTATACTGTATACAATGAAGAGTTGCATGTGCAACATATAATTTGTGTAGTGAGATATTTAGTTAAACACGGTTCAAAAATTGATGTAACAAACAAACTAATAAATATAATGTTATAAGATTTGAGCTATTTAGAAAAAACATTTATGGTTTTCTGTTACAACTTTCAATCATATTATAAAGAAAAAAGGGCAATTTAGGTTTATTTTCTAATTTGTTATGGTGGTTATGAAGTTGGTCAAATTGACTGACTCTGCATAGTTAGGAGTGTCATATTTATTTTTGTGTTATGTTGAAGCTACTGAAACTACCTACCTACAACTATCCTTAATTTTGAATTCCAGAACAGGGGAAGGCAACTATCCAGCAGTCCTTACAGCTAATTAACAAAGAAAACGACCACAATTATGATGTTCTTATGGCTGAAAGGGCAATCATGGTTGGTAACACTAGGTATAGAACCTATGATCCATAATACAATCACGCTTTACTATACTTTACTGGTATTATAATATGACAAACTGGTAAGAAGAGTAGCCCAACAACTGACAACACGTACGTGTTGGAAACTAGTCTCATGTCATCAACAGTTCAAAATGAGGTATGGTAAGCCTAAGTAGCTTTGTCATAACTCAAAGTTGTTCAGCTTAACTTGTAAAAGATAAGTACTACTTCACTTTGCAAAATATACATAACTTACGAAAATGAATGTGTGGCCTAGTGGCTGTTCATTAAACAACTAGACATATTGAGGATTGAACAAAAGTGTAGCCTTACCTTAATATACACATTATTGTATCAAACACAGGTAACTGGGTACACGTGGATGACGTAAGAGCCATGTTTATAAGAATAACATATTATAATTAAAATGTACAATATTAAATTCTATGACATACTTCCTTCATGTGTAGTAAATTCAATTTCATTTGAAGATGGCCCCGAGTAGATGCTGTTGAAAACCAAAACTCTTACAATGTTTCTGGAGAAAGGTTTAAAAATGTTGACGAGTGACTGTGTAACATTGGCTGGAACTGTAACCTCCCGAAGCCTATCTTCACCTTCTTCTGGAGTCCATGTTTGAATCTGTTAAATGAAACAAGCAAAACTAAAAATGAACCAGCTAATTTAACACACTGGTCTAACTATATGAATGCAGTGTTATAATAAGGAACTTCTAATCATTGTAACCCTCATCATTATTACATTAACTTTTATGACACAGTCATATTTGATGTTATGGAAGTAGTGGAACAAAATGATCACATTAATTCTGAGCTTGTTAAGAAACACTGGGAAGTTTAAAATATGATAAGACTTCTGGGCCAGATAATATTTCCCCAATAAATTTGAAGAAGATTACAGATTGGATATGTGAGCCACTTGCTACTATTTTTTGTCAGTCCTTGAATTGTGGGCATGTACCAGAGGATTGGAAGTAAGCTAATGTCATTACTCTTTTCAAGGGAGGAGATAAAAATTGTCTCAGTAATTATAGATTCATTAGTCTTACATCAGTTGTGGGAAAGTTTTGGAAAGTCTGATAAAAGATACTTTGCAAAGTTATTTATCAAAATTTAGAATTTTATTGGATAGTCAACATGGCTTCACTAAGGGAAAATCTTGCTTTACAAATTTTTCGACATTCTTTGAAAAGATTACTGCTTATGTAGATGAAAGTAAGGGTGTATATTTGGTGATTTTTAGAAAGCATTTCACAAAGTGTCACATAAAAGGCTTGTAAAAAAATTATCTCTATAGGTATGGGGGATAAGTTAGCAAATTGGATGGAAAATTGGCTCGATGGAAGAAAGTAGTGGGTTGTTATAAATGGGGCTCAGTCAAACTGGATTAATGTTACAAGTGGGTACCTCAGGACTCAGTCTTAGGACCTTTGATCTTTTTGATTTACATCAATGACACAGATGAAGGGATAGTCAATAAATTACTTAAATTTGCAGATGATATTAAGGTCTTGGGTGTTGCTAACTGTTAAGAGGATGCTGGTAATTTACAAAAGGATTTAGATCATTTAGTGAGTTGGGCAAATAAATTATAAATGGGTTTTATTATAATAAATACAAGATAATGCATGTGGGTTATCATAATTTGGATGGGAATAACCTTAACAGTGTCATGAAAGAAAGGGATCTTGGTGTAATAGTCAATCAATCTCTACAGCCATCCAAGCAGTGTGCTGTTGCTAGTGGTAGGGCAAGTAGGATTTTAGGTTGTATCTACAGAAATATTAAATACGAGTCTAAAAAGGTATAAATTTCATTATATAGGTCACTGGTTAGGTGCCACATTTGGAATATTGTGTTCAATATAGAGTTCCTTACCCTAGGAAATACATCGAACTGTTGGAAAGGGTTCAGAGAAGGGGTTACTAGAATGGTGCCTGGGATGGAAAGGTTGTCATACAAGGAGAGTTTGAAATCTCTTAAATTGTTTTCTCTTAAAAAAAGAATAGTTAGGGGGGATCTGATTGAGATGTTTAACATTGTAAAGGTAATTGATAGTGTTGATGCATCATCTTTTTTCATATTTAACAGTGAGAATAGTAGGACTAGGGGACACAAATATAAATTTTGGCAAGGTAGGAGACATCTTCAGCTAAGTAAAATTTTGTAAGTAAGTGGTTGGCCTTTGGATATTGTGTAGCTAGTAAATTTAAGTGAAATTAAGAGAAAGCTTGATAAGTATATAAATCGTAAGGGCGGGGTTCAATTTTTTTTTAAATTTATTTACTTAATAGTTTTAGTTTAGAGAATGGAACAGCTGGGATGGACCAATAGGTTCCTTGTTGTCTTTAAACATTATGTTATGTGTTATATTATTTCTGTAAAATCACCATTAACATTTAAATCAACTAATGAAAACAAACAATGTCATGACCATGTCTATTGATACAGAAGTAATGAAACAGAATTGATCATTATAACATGACCATTAACATTTAAAGCAACTAATAAAAAGAAACAATGTCATGATCATGCTCAACAACACTTTGGTAGCTCATGGATAACCAGCAAAGAGAAAGAAAAGTCAGACCAAGTAGTAAATGGAGTTCCTTAGATTTCAGGCGTGGGTGTATATTTTCCAATAAGTTACAAAAGTCAAGTCACAATGAAAGAGGCACAGATTTATACAAATAACAAATATTTAATGATTCACAGTTAACAATACTACGTTAACACAATACACAACAATACAATACAATGGACAAGTGATCATATGTACTCTAAATGAAAAGATATGAACCTGCAAAACAAAAACACACAATCCTAATGTGATAACTTTAAAGAAAAATATCAGCTTCTGCTGAACACATTCATGGAATAAAAACACAAATAAAAATATCTGTAAAATTTACAATAAATCTGTATAAAATCTCTGTTCTTCTAGGGTAAAATCAGTGTAATTCTGTTCTCCCAGATTGAAAAAAAAAGTCTTAAGTATGTCAATAAACCCTCAACTTTCCAACACAAGAAAATGGTGATAGGTGCTTGTTAGATCAGCTGGTGAACATGCAATAAAGATTATCGGCAAGACTATTTGCAACTATTATCACCAACAAGAATAACCCAGCTTCCTAATTAAAATCAATGTTGTTATCCCTGCCAGGGAAACAGGAATATCAGGCACCTTAATCTTCACCACTTAACACTTTCAGAATGGGCTCACTCCCAAGGACCAACCGCATAACCATTTTGTGCTTGTTATAGTTTTCATGCTATAACTTTTAAATTAGTAAGTGTATTTTCACAAAATTTTTCATATTTTCAGTAAACATTACAAGGGTTTTGTATGCAAAATATCAGATTTTTGAGTTATGTTTTTCTCATGCCATTTTTCTTTCTGAATGTTGACTGTCCCACATGCAAAGTAATTTTGATTTTAAGGTTAAAAATACTTTTATGCATCAGAAAATTTTCAAGTTTCACATATAAAATCTTTATAACCTCCAGATAATTATCAAACTTTTTTAGAAAAACTTTATATTTTATCTATAATTTTCACTATTGTATCTCTTTACAGGTTTGATTGATTTGACTGACCTCGTAACCACCATAAACAATTAGGAAATAAATATAAATTATGCTTTTTTGTTTGCCCGAGTTTGTTCAAGGCACCCTCTTTTTTAGTATATAAGCCTGGCGAGAAAAACCAGCACAACTGCATAGATAGATTGATCGAAGAGATAGATAATTGAGTCAAGCAAACATTAGGCACCATAAATAAAGTGTGTGAATCACTGATTTATAGCATGTGTTATAAAGGTTGTTAAGTTTAAAGTGACTGTGGAAATTCTGTGTATTACAAAGTTGTATCGAGAAAGAATAAACTAGTTTTAATTAAGAAAGGACTTGTTTTGCTGAAGTTCCTCAGAAAGAATTTATACCAGAAATTAACAAACAAGCAGATATGTAACAGTATAAAAAGTAAGGTTAAATGTCATCGATAGTCAACAGCAAAAAAAAAACAAAAAACAATACTCGGGTAAGTACTTTATTTCTTGTTTTTCATGTTTATTCTTTATTTATTATTATAAAAGTAATTAAAGTGTAAACATAGGGATCTCTTTACATTAATTAAGGTTAGATTACATAAAATAAATAATAATAATGATAATATAATAAAAATAGATCACGAGGCACACATGCGCGAGTAGTTCATGGGTAAGGTAATTTGATAGAGCACAAGCCACACATTCCCTAAGTGATTTACAACTTATAATGACATGAATAATAGTTAGACATGGTTCAAAGGGCAATAAAACAATAAAATTTAATCATAAATAAATGTACACTGTTACGAATTTATAGCTAATTGGGATAAACTAATGTAGTTTCATGTTACATTGGAAGTCATTCTAGAAAGAAAAAATAGTATTTTAGGTTTATTTAGATTATTTTTTTTGGTGCTTATGAGGTCGGTCAAATTGACTAACCCCATATAGAGTTAGGGTAGAGAAAATAACAGATAATATATAAAGTTAGCAGGATTCAATATTTGCCAAAAGTTGTGCAACAGTCTTCATTGTTCTATGACTGCATCATTACCACTTTTGAAAAACTACATCTACATCTTCAACTTCTCACTCATCAACTGGGAACTTTCTAGCATTTGAAAAATTTTCAGGAGATGAAAAAACATACATGGAATGCACAGTTTAAATTTTTTTGTGTACAGGCAGATTTCTGTCTAATATACACACAATTTTGTGTAAACCTGAGTTCTGACTGACCATCTACAGATACAGAAAAAACAAGATCTCATGAAAATGTGATCCCAATGAACATTTTTAATCTTACCTTGTACCCCCTGAAGTGACCACATATGGAAACAGGAGAAACAGGATCCCAAGAAAACATGGCAGAATGACATTTTTAATCTTACCTTGTACCCCCTGAAGTGACCACGTATGGAGACAGGAGAAACAGGATCCCAAGAAAACATGGCAGAATGAGCATTTTTAATCTTACCTTGTACCCCCTGAAGTGACCACGTATGGAGACAGGAGAAACAGGATCCCAAGAAAACATGGCAGAATGAGCATTTTTTATAAAGTTCAACTTGAAATTTGTAGGTGCATCCAAAGGTCCTGTATAATAAATATATAAACTTTAGGTTTAAATTCTGCTTGAGCAGAAATTAGAGATTTCAACAATGCACTTCATATATCATTATTTTTATTTTCCTTTCATTTTCGTTTTTCTTGTTTAACTATAAATTACCTTGTACAAGTCATGTCAGGTAAATATAATACATTAATGTGACATCTTACTCAAAGCCAGAAATAAACTTTGGTGAGCCAAATCTAATTCATTACATACACTGGTGGCTACATTATGGAACATTTCTAGAACATAATCAAATGCTAATTTGCTGCGTATTTCATAACACTTCACATAGTAATTTCTTGTTTAAATAACAAGAGTCAAAAGCTAGTATCAAGTAAAATGTTATGTCCCTAAGACATTATCTGTCTTTTTACGATGTACACCTTACCCTACTGACATTGTTAATTTCTCGAATAAATACAAAAAGAGGCAAAAACTAGTACAAACTACAATGTTATGTCCCATTTTATATGAATATATAAAAAAAAATTTTATTTAGTGTCTTTATGTGAATGTGTGTGAAGTACGAACAGTGGAAACAATCAACACTAATTGTATACTTAACCTTTTCCTGTTTGTGCTGATTTAGTTCATTCACTCGTATATATATATATATATATATACACACACACACACACACACACACACTTTGTTTTATATAGTAATTTAAAGTTTATCACAACTGATTTAATAATTAACTATAGTGGTAAACTGTGTATATGTCTTTTATAACTGGTATAAAATGTTCTACACATCTTTTAAGTATTAAATTTCTTTTACAAGATTAATATTTTGTCATAATATCAAAATAAGACATTAAGATTCAGCACAGATTAAGGATCAACTCTGTATGAGCTGGCTTATTACCCATTATTGGAGTTTTCAGTATTTGTAAATATTAAAAAAAACAAAATGACAATGAACCTCATAAAAATATTCAGTGATTTGTTTCTATTCTTGAATAACTACTTTACAGTACTTTCAATCCCATTATATGATATATCTAAGCCTAATACATCACATTCTTTAAAAACTTAAGTGATTATTATAAAGAAGTTTTGTAATCTGTATTATAAAGAGTTGGTCACATAAACTTCAGTTACAAGGCCACTTCTTAACCTGCTGTTGAAATATTTGTAACCTTCTATACTTACGATCTTCTCCCGAGTAACCTAAAACTTCAGCTGCAGGTACGTGAGCTTGGCCAATTTTATTATGTGCCTCTACTTTCAGTCGATACTCTGTAAATGTTGGTTGGTTATCTACAACATACTCATTCTGCTGCCAATCAGCAATCACTACTGTCTCCCACTGAGCACCATGAAGATCCTCTCTCTTCCAGAACACTTTGTAGAAAAACCCAGGACCATTGTGTTCAATTTTTGACATGGGCTAAAAATAAATCAAACCAGCATTGAAATGAGACATACACATTCATGTTTCTGTTAAAGCAAGTGATAGGTTTTGTTCTTACATGCCCACATGCTTTTTAATGGTTTTTCACTGTGTTTTCTGTTTTAAAGATTTGAATGAGCTCTCTCTTAACAGTATTGCTACACTAGTACCATCATTACCCACTTCACATGTCCACCAGTACCATCATTACCCACTTCAGTTGCCCACAAGTACCATCATTACCCACTTCAGTTGCCCACAAGTACCATCATTACCCACTTCATATGCACACCAGTATCATCATTACCCACTTCACATGCACACAAGTATCATCATTACCCACTTCACATGCACACAAGTACCATCATTACCCACTTCACATGCACACAAGTACCATCATTACCCACTTCACATGCACACAAGTACCATCATTACCCACTTCACATGCACACAAGTACCATCATTACCCACTTCACATGCACACAAGTACCATCATTACCCACTTCACATGTACACCAGTATCATCATTACCCACTTCACATGTACACCAGTATCATCATTACCCACTTCACATGCCCACTAGTGTACTAACACCATCATTATTCACTTGCCATACCCACTAGTGTACTAGCACCATCATTATCCACTTGTCACACCCACTAGTGTACTAGCACCATCATTATCCACTTGTCACACCCACTAGTGTACTAGCACCATCATTATCCACTTGTCACACCCACTAGTGTACTAAGACCATCAGTATCCACTTGCCACACCCACTAGTGTACTAATACCATCAGTATCCACTTGCCACACCCACTAGTGTACTAACACCATCAGTATCCACTTGCCACACCCACTAGTGTACTAACACCATCATTATCCACTTGCCACACCCACTAGTGTACTAACACCATCATTATCCACTT